ACCTCTTGCCCTTCATTTTTTACCTTCCCCCCCCTCATTTCAGGCTCCTCACACAGCGTGTGCCTGGGATGTTTTACAGTATTCACATTTAAAAACTTGGTTTGCTCTAATTTCAGAGAGCTGTCAAATGCACAGTACCTATCATGTGGTGTTCAACAAGAATTTAGGGGGGGTGTCCTCCCCTCCAAGCCCTAACTGGAACGAGCAGCAAAGTTCTCAGTCACCTCCAAGCCTGGGGGAAGCCACCAGCGGGTCTCAGTGACCTTTGGACCAGGCAGACACAGGCTCCCCATTCCCACCAGTGTGCTTCTTGCTGGGAAGGTCTCCGAGCTCCTTGCTGTGCCACCTAAGAAGCTTTCTCCAACCTGCAGCCCTGAAAGCTGGCAGGTTTGGGAAGAGTTCCTGGGGCAAAGTAGCCCAATCTGGCTGGGAGCCAGCAACATGCATTCTTTCCGTGGAGTGATGCTCTCATTTCAGCACATCAGACCGATCCTCTCTCCTTCTCTGCCTCTTGCTGCAGATGAGGGTGCGGCCATGGCGGGTCTGTGGCAGCAGGGGTCGGCAGGACATGGCCCAGCCTCAGGTCTTTTGCTGAAGGGAAGAAAGGTGAGGGTGGCAGCTCAGCAGGACAAATAACTGGCCCAAGCCACTTGAACCCCTGCTCCAGCCTTCTACAATGGCCTCAGCCCTGTAGCAAAAGCCATTCTTGCAGTGAGCAAACTCAGGAAAGTGGCTCCTCTCACCCTTGCCCTCGCAGCCCTGGGACAGCTCTTGCCTCGCTGTCTTCCATGTAGTTTTAAAGATCAATGTTGTGGGGTTTTTTGTTTTGTTTTGTTTTGAGTTTGTAATTGAGCACTTTGAGTTGGCTGCAGTGCAGTTGGGCAGCAGGAGCCACAGGGACCGGTGCTGGGGACCAGCTCCAGTGTGGGATGGTGGCGAAGGTCAGGGTCTCTCGGCTGTGCACTTTGAGAGCCCGGCTACCATCTGCTTTTCTTTTTAATTGCTATTCTTGTTTACAGCGTGGAACATTTCCTCTGTGACTCTTTCTAATGTATTATAATTGTTATCTTTAAAAAAAAAAAAAATTACGTCTGTGCTTTTTCTTTTCTTCTGGTTTTGTGGGTTTTTTGTAGGGAGGTTGGGGGCGGGGGGGGGGCAAGTCAATCATTCCTTTTTACGCTGATCCAAACAGACTGTCTGGAGTATTTGATGTTGTGTTTTACATGGTTGTAATGATAATGGTTAAAGAAGTTTAGCATAAAATCAGACTCAACAACGTTTCTTACGGCAACAGATGCTGCAGCGATACCAGTTGCCTTCTCCTGCTGGTTCTTACCTTGGCTCACCAGGTGTGCTTCAGCTGCAGTGGGTCCAACCTGCTCCATCTCTGCCTTCCTCCCTGCTTTTCCACTGCTGTTAAATCCAGGCATTCCCAGCAGCAGTGGAAAGCTGCTCCTTTCTGTGTACTGCTGTCCTCTCCTGGCTCACTGAGCCAAGGGCGGCACTGCGCTCCCAGCCCCCATGCATCCCTTCTGACACACAGCCAGTGGCCAGCAGCCCTACCACGGCTTTCTTTTTTGGCTGAGATTTTGGGTTTGGAGTTTCTTTTCCTGCCCGCGAGCAGCACTGGGAGGGCTGCACGGGACGGGGAGCGGATGGATGCAGCTCCGTGCACAGCCGGTGGGTGAGTGGGTGGGTGCGACTCACCGTGACGCTACGTGAGTCAGGACTGAGTCATGCTTATGCCCGTCACTGGGAGCGGAAGGTGGTGCTGCTCACAGCTGAAAATGGATTTTAAAAAGCTGTGTGTGAGCAGCACCTCTGACGCACCTCAAATTTTGCAGCCAGTGCTTCCTGTGCTGAGATGGCCACGGTACTGTTGGCTTTGGGTTGTTAAATTTGGTTAAGTATTCTGGTTTCCCCTAAGAGAAAGCTGCCATTTGGTACTTAAGCAACAGGGCTACAGTAAACACAGGGTGATCTGTCTGTACCAGAGCAGCACAGAGGGCACAAAGACTGACAGCAAAATGGAGGGGCCAGGATTAGCTAAACGCCACCCTAGGATTTAAGGGCAGTGCAGGAAACGTGGCATCCGTGTGCATCATCTGGTGGGTGCTGTAGCCTGGTATTCCTGCTTCTAGCAGTGCTCCGCCTCACCTAAATGAGGTCAAACAGGAACAAAAAAAGCTCCTACCTTGTTTTCCGGTGTCCTTAAGTTCACTCATTTATATTAACTGGTTAAAACCTGGTCTGCAACCCTGCGCAAAAAAAGCCAGCACCAGTAAGCGCCACAGTGGAGCAGCAGTGCAGTGAGGACGCAGCTCTCAGTACCTGTCCCATATCATTTCACGCTGGATGCCAGCCCAGGGGTGCTCCACTGCAAGCACAGGGTGGGACAGCCCTGAGCTGGAGTGAAGCAAACCTCATCTCTCCCATGTTCCCAGGTGCCCGCAAGCAGCCCAGCTGCACAAGCTGCTTTGTATCACCTCCTGGCCAACAGCCCCAGTGAACCTGTTGGCTTTCAGGCAGCATGGAGGAAGCAGCTGGTTGGGACTGGGTTTGAACAGCTGTGGCAGTTACCTATGTGACAGGCACCGCAGGGTTTAGGATATGGCATTTATCTGACTGCTGGGACAGCTTCAGCTCCGTGCTGCTGGGGAGGGAGCAGAGTGTCCAGAATGGCAGGGTTTCCTCCAGGGAAGGTGAGTTGTGCTGTGTTTGAGGGATGTGGCAGGCAGAGTCCTGTTCCTCTCTGAAACAGCCTCGGTTCACTTGGCCATT